CACACCTCACTCTCCACCTATATATAATGTCTTGCAACGTCTTCATGCCAGAGGTGAACAAGGTCCCAGGACCGAAATGTTTTCTAACATGTCCTAGTGTTTGCTCACGTGTTTTTCTAAACCAACTTGTCGGTATTTATTACCAAGGTTTATACTACACAGTACAGTACAAGGCAACATTACAATCACATGAAAAATTAAGTGATTTACTTACAACCTTCACAACTCATCTAAATTCTCTATTTCATATTATCTATGTATGAGAGAATAATTGTGTTTACATCCTCCCCCCCCCCCCCACACACACAAAGTACATGTGTCAGTGTGGTGCTCACATATTTACCTCTTGTTATCATACAGTTTAGTGATCTCAGTAATGGCAAGACTAAACTGGTCTCATTTCGGCAGTGTATTACACTTTCCATTTTTCCAAACATTGACTGTGTACATCCTGGCATCACACAAAATACAGCTACAAAATATATAAACAGCATATACAGGGTATCGCATATAATGTACAAACTTTATGAACTCATAAAGTGTGTAGATTTTTTTTTTTAGGTGAAAATTTGTCTTATAAATAGATAACAGACATAAGACTGAACATCGGAAATTTGTACTGAAGTGGTACTGGAAATGTCAAAATGCAAATGGAGTCCCAAGATAATGGAATGCCTTGTTGAGAATGAAGTACAAGTGTGTGTAAATTTTTTAGGACACCCTGTATATATCAGCAGCAGCTCTGGGAAGTGTGTAGATGAAAAATACTTTTGTACAAGTATCAGAGCCCTATTACAAGACCTGAACCATGATTTAAGGTCAGTAAACTCTCAACATACTATACATAGATATACCAAATTTAAAAGGATTGCCATTTGTAATACTTCTACTTGTATCCTAAGCTTCAAACTACATTAGTTACTCAATATTAAAAGTATGTTAATAACATTAAAGTAGGACAAAATAATCTGAGCAAATTAGACATACTGAAATTATCAATAATGTCAAGTTATGTACAGTGGTACCTCGAGTTAAGAACTTAATTCCTTCCAGAAGGCTGCTCGAGTATCGATACCGAACGAATTTGTTCCCATAAGGAATGATGTAAATTAGATTAGACCGTTTCAGACAAAAGCACTTACAAAAATACATTAACATAACTGTTCAAGTTGGGAGCTGTTCGAAACTCGAGGTACCATTGTACATCACTTTTAACAATGTAGAATGTTGCTAGGTTCTCACATATACAGTACTGGTAAAAAATAATACAATTATATGCTGTATATTAATATCCACTGAAGGTTGTCAGATATTAATACCCTGAAATTTGTTTACTCATTCTGAGTTACAGAACCAAAAAAGTACAATCAAAATTTAAATATCTGAATATAATTTTTAGACCAGAATTAAAATATTGTATATTAGAGTAAATTTTAATAAAAGTTTCAAAATTTTCTCCAAATATTCTTATTTGCAAATTAGCACCAAAAGATGAAATTGTACTTTAAGTTGTCATAATTTTTTATCAATTGAAAATACAACATTCCTTGCATTTTCATAAATAATTACAATTCAAAAATATTTCCCAGTTATATATATTGTAATATTTATTTTAAAAATGGACTCTACAATATTTCACTTAATATTCCATATAAATTTTATATATATTTATCAAAATTTTAAAATGAATAAAACACCTTATATAACTTAATGATATTGGTCTATTAAATTTGTAGCACTTCATTAACTTCACTGCTGATGTACTGTACTGACCAAAAACATGCATATGTATTAAATCAAGAGAGTGCCACCAATGGTTCACAATGTTCAAAATTTATATAGTATTTAACATAATCCCTATATCTCATTCCTACTGTCTACCTGGAGGGTATTCCGGGGATCAATGCTCCCATGGCCCGGTCCATGACCAGGCCTCCTGGTGGATCAGGGCCTGATCAACGAGGCTGTTACTGCTGGCTGCACGCAATCCAACGTACGAACCAAAGCCCGGCTGATCCGGCACTGAATTTAAGTATCTGTCCAGCTCCCTCTTGATGACAACCAGGGGTCTACTGGTAATGCCCCTTATTGCTGGTGGGAGGCTGTTGAACAGTCTTAGGCCCTGGACACTTATTGCGTTTTCTCTTTGTGTACCAGTGACGCCCCTACTTTTCACTGGGGGTATGTTGCATCGCCTGCCAAGTCTTTTACTTTCGTATGGAGTGATTTTTGTGTGCATATTAGGGACCAGTCCCTCCAGAATCTTCCAGGAGTAGACTATGATATCTCTCTTTCACCTGCACTCCAGTAAGCACAAGTCAAGTGCTTCCAGACGTTCCCAGTAATTAAGGTGTTTGATGGAACTTATACGTGCAGTAAAGGTCCTCTATACATTCTCTAGATCCGCAATTTCACCTGCCTTGAATGGGGATGTTAATGTACAGCAGTATTCCAGCCTAGAGAGAACAAGTGATTTAAAATGGATCACTGGCTTAGCTTCTCGTCTTGAATGTTCTCATTATCCATCCCATCAGTTTCCTCACAGATGTGACAGTGGCAATGTTGTGGTCCTTGAAGGTGAGGTCTTCAGACATTACTACACCCAGGTCCTTCACATTACTTTTCCACTCTACTGTGTAATTAGAGTTTGTAGTATACTCAGTCCTGGTTATTACTTCCTCCAATTTTCCATAATGGAGTAGCTGAAATTTGTCTTCATTGAACATCATATTGTTCTGTTGCCCATTGGAAAACTTGGCTTATATCATCTTGGATCTTTGCCGTGTCCTCAATGGATGACACTCTCATGCAGATCCTAGTATTGTCTGCAAAGGATAATACAGTGCCAAGGTTTACATCTCTGTCTATGTCTGAGATGAAAATGAGGAACAGGATAGATGCAAGTACTGTGCCTTTTGGGACAGAGCTCTTCAATATGGCAGCATCAAATTTAACTCTGTTTACCATTACTCTTTGTGTGTGATTGGTTAGAAAGTTGAAGATCCATCTGCCTACTTTGCCAGTTATCCCTTTAGCATGCATTTTGTGTGCAATTACACCATGGTTGCACTTGTCAAAGGCTTTTGCAAAATCTGTGTATACTACATCTGCATTCAGTTTGTTTTCCAGTGCATCTAAGACCATATCATAGTGGTCTAGCAGTTGCGAGAGGCAGGAGCAACCTGCTCTGAAACCATGCTGCCCTGGGTTGTGCAATTTTGGGGAGTCTAGGTGGTTTGCTATCCTGCTTCTTAGAACTCTTTCAAAGACTTTTATGATATGGGACATTAAAGCTATTGGTCTATAGTTCTTAGCTACTTCTTTGCTGCCAACTTTATGGAGTGGGGCTATATCCATTGTTTTTAGCGACTGTGGAATCTCATCTGTGTCTAAACTCCTTCTCCATAGCATACTTAGGGCCCGTGAGAGGGGTTTCTTGCAGTTCTTAATGAACACCGAGTTCCCCGAGTCTGGGCCCGAGGCTGAGAGCATGGTCACATCGTCATTGGCTTTCTCAAAGTCTAGTGGAGTTAGGGTTATGTCAGAAATTTAGCATACATTGTCAGGGCTTTGAGGCTCATTCATGAAAAAATTGTTTGAATTGTCTATCTTTAGACTGGTTAAACAAACCATACCACGGGTGGGGTTTGAACCCGCGGTAAGAGAGGTTAGTGGCTCGCTGAACACAGAGTCATATTGAGATTTCAGTATCTCACTCATTTCTTTGTTGTCATCTGTGTAGAATCCATTTTGTCTGAGTAGGGACCCTATACTAGAAGTAGTTTTTGCCTTTTTTTGGCATATAAAAAGAAATATTTCAAATTTCTTTCAATTTCACTAATCGCTTTTAGCTCCTCTCATCTCTCCTGGATCCTGTACGAGTCCTTTAACTTTAGCTCAATATTTTCCACTTCCCTGGTTAGCACTTCCTTCTGTGTAACAGATAATCTGGCATTCTTAAGGAGCTCAGTGATTCTTCCCCTTCTGCTGTAGAGGGAGTGTCTCTCTTTCCAGTTTACTTCTTTTCTTTTTTCTTAAGAGGAATATACCTTGAACATACTTCAGCTACCAGGATGTTGATCTTTTCAAGGCATTGGTTAGGGTCCATGTAATTTAAGATATCTTCCCAACATGTTTCATTTATGGCATAGTTTACCTGATCCCAAATGATGTTCTTGTTGGTGAAGTTGAATTTGGTAAATGTACCCTCACAGCTGTATGCATTTTGCTGATCAGGACTCTTGTGCATTTAAGTCTGGACTTCGATTAGACTGTGATCAGAATTTGTTGTTCTGGATATTATGTTTCGTACCAGGTCCTCATTATTTGTGAAAATAAGGTCTAGTGTGTTCTTCAGTCTTGTTGGCTCCACTATCTGCTGAATTAGGGTGTGTTTATTGCAGAAATTCAGCAGCTCATGTGTGTGTGACTTTTTATCTGAGCTGCCTCCAGGGATTATTTCTGCTACAACGTTATTTGCCTTATTCTTCCATTTTGTATGTCTTAGACTGAAGTCACCAAGCAGCAAGATGTTTGGGGATGGGGCTGGAAAGTTTTCCAGACAGGAGTCAATTTTTGAAAGTTGTTCTTTAAACTGTTGGGAAGTTGAATATACAAGAACAATGACTAAGTTTTGGTTCTTAATTTTTATTGTCAGAACTTCAACTACATCATTTGTGGTGTCCAGTATCTGTGCAAATGAGCGACACTGACATACAGGCCAAACCCCCCCTTGTTGACTGTAAGAAACTGTCTTAAACTTTTCCCACGATATCACACAAATTCTAACACCTGTACAAAGAACATGGTAGAAAATTTATTAGGTAGACAAATACTTTTGAGATTATCAGCCTATGTCAAGGTCTTCCCCTACAAATGGTAGGTCGGTCGGTCGGACAGACAGACAGACAGAGACAGCCCCCCCCCCCACACACAGTCCTGAAGAATTATCAGTAATCACCAAGCCAATGACAAAAAGTAAATGCTTAAAAACAACTTACTTAGTGGTATCAGTAGCATAGAAGTAGACATCATCAGGGGCATCCATCCAGGAGATGATCCGAGGGCGACCTCCTACGCGAGATACTGTGGCGATCTTGGCTCTCCCGGGCGTGCTTGGGGCTCCCAGGTTGGGAACTCCAGCCAGTGGGGGCGTTGGGACTCCTGGGGGAGGCACTCCAGGACCCCCATTCACCCCCACTGGTGTAACAGTCAGCCCAGGAGGAGGGATAACTCCTAGTTGATTCAGATGTAACGAGTCCAACGCCTCTAAATCCTTCTGCCGCTTTGCTGGTGGGATTCCTGGGAAAGGATTAGCCTGCTGCTGGTCACAGTTAATAGGAGACTGCACCAGGAAATGGCTTTTATGGGCATTCCCCAGACTGACTGTTAGTAAAATCCTGTAACATTATATATTAATTTTGCAGGTATACCCTGGCAGTTCTAGTAAAGCATTACTCTTAAAAATAAATGTTAAGTTTAATGTCCTTTGCCCTGGTTAGTTGGAGGCATGGAAAAACTAGGCAACCATAACTTAATTAGTTTGAAGAATTTCAAAACTACATGACTGTCCACCATATGTTTATGCACACAGACTCACATGTAGGCATTCAAAGTATACTTTTCCATTAGTATAGGATACTTTTTTCCCCTCTTGTTTTTTTTTTTTTTTTTTTGCAGTACTACAAATGCCTACAGACATGAATACCTCATAATGTGTTCAGCCATATTATAATGGAAAAGTAAGACGACTCAAAAAAATCATCCGAATAAATGTACACAAACAAAAACACACCTATAAACACAGGTGCATTCACATACACCCACTTGAATACACACAATAACACACACACACACACACACACAAGCATACTACTGCACACACACACACACACATAAATATACACACCCACACACACTGTACATATATAAAAGCACAAAAAAAATTCTCACAACACACACACACACACAACACACACAAGCAGGTACTTACCTGATTATACAATCACACTGCAGATGCACGCACACACAAAATGCATGCACAACATGAGCGCACACATCATGTGCACTCAAACACACACATGCCACTAAATCTTAAAGTCACAGATGGGCCACAGAGTCGTTGGTAAGTGGAATGATCTTGGTGAGGGAATGGTGGAGGCAGGCTCCATACATAGTTTTAAGAGTAGGTACAACAGAACCCACAAGGATAGGACAGTGAATCTGGGAAACGGCAAGTTGAGAAACAGGCCAGGCACTAAGACTCAACCCCCACAATGACATATAGGCGAGTAAGTATGCATTAACCTGACATTTTTATAACACCCCGTCTGTCTCCCACCGAGGCAAGGTTACCTGACATGGAAAAAAACACTTCAGTGTCATTCACCCAATCATTGTCTAACCAGAAGCACACTGACATTACAGTTCAAATGATCCATCAAACTGCAATTTCCTCACTCTTTCTTCAGAGTGCAGGTACCATACTTTCCACTTCCAAGAGCCCCAATCTAGCTAGCCAGTTTCCCTGAATCCCTTCATAAATGCTACCTTGCTCACATTTCAACAACCCATACCATGGGTGGGGATTCAACTCATGGCAAGTGAGTTTATTTGCAATCATGTCATTACGATTTCTTGAGTCATTTCAACACCATGTCAAATCATAAAAACCCCTTGCCTCCACTCACTCCTATCTAACACACTCACATAAGCCTGCTGGATGTCCAAGAGCCCTAGCACACAAACCCTACACTACTCCCTCCCTCCAACTTTTCCTAGTACAACCCCTGCCCCTTCTTCCTAGATTTATATGTCCTCCTAGTCATCATGCCTTTCTCCATCATCTATTTCCAAACCACCTCAAGAACTCCTCCTCAGCTCTCTGAATAATGCCACTGGTAACTCCACACATCCTAATCTCCAAACTCCAAATTCTCTGCATAATATTCACATTATACATTGCCCTCAAATATGACATCTCTACTGCCTCCAGCTTCCTCTTTGCTGCAACTTTCGAATTCCATGCTTCACACCCATACAACAGTGTTGGTATCATTATACAGCCTCTCCTCACTTAACAAAAGAGTTCCATTCCTAAGACCTTGTCGGTAAAAGAATTTGTCGCTAAGCGAGGAGCATACTATAATGGTTGCGAGTTTATGTCAACCACAACCAACTTGTTTACTGATGACTAAGACTTACGACGGGCTCTCTGACCAGTATGCATACCTAACCCTTTCAGGGTCCGTCCCGTAGATCTACGGCTTTATGTTCAGGGTCCAAACCGTAGATCTACGCCATGAGCTCAGCTCACTCTGATAAACTGTGAGTGGTACATTTGGGCCTAGATATGAGAGAATACATCTATGTGGTATGTGTGCACCACATAAAACAGATCCTGCAGCACACTGTGTATAATGAGAGAAAAAAAATGAAATCATGATTTTTCGATTAAAACAGCAACTTTGCAGTGTTTTTTCGTATGTTTTTTATAGTTGTATTTGCGATTTTTTGGTCTCATTTGATAGAATGGAAGACATATTACAGAAATAGAGATGATTTTGATTGTTTTAGCATTGGAAATGGCTTGAAACTGAGCTCAAAGTAGTGGAAATGTTAAATTTTTGCCGATATTCAAGAGTAAACAAACGACCTCACACATCTAATACACGTCAGCTGGTGGGTCTAATATACATTCACAAATATGGTGATGATATTTATACAATTATTACAGTATTGCATAACAGTAAATCTTCTATTTTTTGGTGTGAATAAAAATTCATTATGTGAATAAAAAATAAAAATGGAATTTATTTGTAAAGCCTCAAAACATAACTAATGAACAGAGGAAATGTTAGTTTAGTGCAAGGAATGCCTACATTGTTCATTCTGGACCCTATTTTGAAATTGGAATATTTGAACTTTGTGTTAAATTGGCCAAATTAACAATTCCGATCCACTTTATTTTGTAGTTGAAACAGTTGACTTGGCAATTTCTTGTGCTCAATCGATAGAATAAAGTAATACTAGTGAAATCGCTAACATTTTGGTTGATTGGAATAATGTAATTGGCCAAAATGGTAGTCAAAGTCGGCAAAATCGCCGATTCTAATATCGCTGACACCATCAAAATTCGCGAGCAAATTTCTCAATTTTCCACCAAATTTCGACTTTTTGTTTTATTACCTCACAAAAGATTTTTCATATACGATTTCATAAGAAAAAATCAAAAATTCTTTTGTTTAAATACTATGGAACTGGTGCGTGACTCCAGATTTGGGCCTTGGACCTGAAAGAGGTTAAATAATGTATATTGAAGATGCATATATCCTCTATTCTGTTAATTACAATATACAGTACACTGCTGTATAAACATTTAAAAACATACCAGAAATGTCATAAATGGTGCAAAGGTGCCATTAAAACATTATCAAAAATGGTTGACACAAACCCACTACCATAATAATACAGTGGACCCCCAGATTATGAAATTAATCCATTCCAGAGAGTGACTTATCCCGAATCTGACTTATTCCAAATTAATTTTCCCCATAAATAATGGAAATCTAATTAATCCGTTTCAGACACCCAAAAGTATTAAAAGAATGTTTTCTATGTGGAATATACATTTACCTACACAAAAAACAATGATACATGAAGAATAAAACAATAACAACATCACACTTACTTTTACTGAAGACATGGTGATGTATGGAAGATGGGAGGAGAGGAGAGGATGGAGGAGTTTACAACTGTTTGGAAGTGGAATCCCCTTCCATAAAGACTTCAGGTACCAAGTCCTTATCCTGGGTTACTTCCCTCCTTTGTTTTTTAATGCCACTAGGACCAGCTTGAGAGTCACTGGACCCCTGTTGATCAAAAAAGTGTTCCAGAGAGGTCTGTTTCTGGTGTATGTTAGGAATCGTGTTGGGAGACAGGACAAGATAGTCATTCAATATGACACTAATATCAGCTCTAGTCTTATTTATCTAGCACAATTCATCTAATGTGACATAATAAACAATATTAATAACATAGAAACATGATATATACCCTAGAATGAATAAAATATGGCATTAAGAATGTCACGAGTGGTGGTGTGTTGTTTGTTGTTGGGTGTATAAGGGCCACTGAAAGATTAGCCTTACATAGTGGTGGTGAAGGCGGCAGCAGAGGAGGCGGTGTTAGTCAGTAGCCCTATATACCTCCAACAACAATGGAGGAGTCAGTTTCATGCTGTGTTTTTCCTATCAATTAATTGCTTAACTTACTTGTTACAGTTAATGCTACACTTAAAGGCTATGGCGTCAGCCAGCAATAATAGACTCCTGCTGCTTTAGTATCGTACATGTTGCAGAATCACTGAAAGAGGCACATTCTCTCCCCTCTCTCTCTCTCAGCCCTTTGGTAAAGGGCTGGATGGCACTAGAAGCTTTCTTTGGGCCCATGGTGGCTTATTTAGCAGTTACAAGCACTAAAAAATGGAATAATACAAAATGTATCATATGAACGTGTGGGATCGTCCGTACTGGCTGGTAAACAATGGCACACTGAGCTGCTCAGGCCGACACGAATGACTTGTACGAAGTTCAGTGACGTTCACCAAGCCAATATTTGGACGTAAAAACGTTACTTATTCCGATTATCACATATTCCGATGACATCTTAATCCAGAGGTCCACTGTATGCTCCTCACTTAGCAACGAATTCGTTTACCGACGTGGTCTTAGGAGCAGAACTCCGTCACTAAGTGAGGAGAGGCTGTATTGCATATTTCACATTTCACCCAGGAAGTGCATGAAAATCGAGTTCAAGAACCTTCTGATGACAGCACCTTGTAAATCCCAAAGCACTGAAAGGAGGGTGCAAGAAAAAGGTTCTGAAAGGTAGGTAATGGAACAGTTGGCACATGAACATCTTAAGAGTGGAGTGGTGACATGTATGTTTTGGTGCTGTTTTACTGAGTGTGAGAAAGGGGATTCGGAGTAACCAGTTAGCTGAACTTGAATCCTGAGAATGAAAAATTGGCCCTTACATTCTGAAAGACGGGAAGGAATGTTGCAGCTCAGTGAATCATTTGAACTGCAATAATTGTGCACATGTAGCAATACAACTAGGAAACATTGTGAGGAATAAAAAAAATTACTCAGGTTCAGGTAAGTAATAAGACATACTAAAGATAATGTCTAAAAATGAAGAGAAAGAAAAAATTAATAAACATGCCAACACCATGACGTATCTTGCTTGGGATACTTAAATAAATAAATAAATAAAAGAAACCAGTAACAAATACTGTTGTCATCTATTTATATTAATACGTGATTTACTGATGTCATAGCTCTAAAGCATCTATGTTTCACTTATCAGCAGTCAGGACACACAGTTATATATTATTGTGCCTCCTCTACAATCTACAAGGTTAAAATCACCCAAAACCTCATTTGTATTGGGAAATGATTCTCTAGAGCTACACCAGCAACAACAAACATTTCTGCTCACAAATCATAAAATATTAAAAGTAGAAATATCTAATAAGAGTTGGTTAGAGCAACATCTAAAATTACAAAAAAGTACTGCATTAAAAAATATATAGTTTGAATTAAATATATTAAGTTTTTAAGTTGATAGGAATTAAGGAAACGACTATACAATTTTTTTTATCATGAAATGCACAAATAAATTTGGTAGGAGGGGGAGATGGTCACCAAGTTAAAAAAAAAAAAAAAGAGGGAGGGGGAGCAATGTCTAACTGGAATATACCTACGTAAACCTCATCTCATATATATCCTTAGACTGGAACCCAACATTCAATTCATAGCCTCTCCTAATCATTTTGACAACGGAATACACATAGATTTTTGGAATCCGACAATCATTTGTTTATTCCTAACTTTTTTTTTTATAGAAGTCTTTATTCACCAGAAGTCATTTACTATTTCTAATACTCTTATTCTGAGTTGCTCTTTCCAATACAATAAATACTGTTTTAAAACAATCTACCATTGAAAAACTTACATGCTGGTTTAACACTAGGGCATCTTTATCCCTCACTAGGCTCATATTAAAGACATTATGGCACAGCTGTATTTTATCTTACACAACAGAATATATAGTAATTAGGTGCAAAGAGAACTACAAAAAGGGTGATACTGGATATTATAAAATAAAAGATGCATATCCCACACTTTAGATGATCAAAATATTATCACAATTATTATAACAGTTTTATAAAGAAACTATCACACAAGGAATTACGTACATAAACCTAAAATTTAAAAAATTCAATGGTAAAATAACCTTGTTAAAACACATAACCAAACACAACTGATAAATCCATAAATGTCAATAATATAACCAAACATAAGTGGGGCCCCAGAAAGCAGATTCTGAACCAAAACAGCAATGACACAGGTATAAAAAAAAAAAAAAAAAAAAAAAAAAATTAAGAGAAATGTAATTGTGGTGCAGCCCTAAACAGCAGGCAAAAGCTGCAGTGGTGGCTACATTGCATAAAATCCTATTTTGTGTAAGCTATCTCACAAATAGACACATTCAAAAGTTTCAGATCAATTACGTAAATAAATTTTATTTTGAAGCAATGAGCAATTTTGTAAATGTTCACTGCTAACAGTTAAAACAAGAGAATAACAAAGTTCATTAATTTACCGTATATTATTAGCCTTAAGGCAAGTTTTTACTAATATACTCAGAGCAATACCCTTAACCCTTTCAGGGCCCTTGCCATAGATCTACGGCTTTACATTGAGGGTCCAAACCGTAGTTCTATGACATGAGCTCACCTCACTCTGATAAGCTGTGAATGGTAAATTTGGGCCTAGATATGAGAGAATAGATCTATGTGGTATGTGTGCACCACATAAAACAAATCCTGCAGCGCACAGTACATAATGAGAGAAAAAAACCGAGACCGTAATTTTCGATTAAAACAGCGACTTTGCAGTTTTTTTTTTGTATGTATTTTATAGTTGTATTTGCGATTTCTTGGTTTCATTTGATAGAATGGAAGATATATTACAGCTAAAGTAGTGGAAATGTTAAATTTTTGCCGATGTTCAAGAGTAAACAAATGACCTCACATGTCTAATACACGCCAGCTAGCGGGTCTAATACACGTTCACAAATGTGGTGATATTATTTATACACTTATAACAATATTGCATAACAGTAAATCTTCTGTCTTTTGGTTTGAATAAAAATTCATTATGTGAATAAAAAATAAAAATGGAATTCATTTGTAAAGCCTGAAAATGTAACTAATGAACAGAGGAAATGTTAGTTTAGTGCCAGGAATGCCTGCATTGTTTATTCTGGACCCTATTTTGAAATTGAAATATTTTGAACTTTGCATTAAATTAGCCAAATTACCAATTTCTGATCACTTTATTTTGTAGTTGAAACAGTTAACTTGGAGATTTCTGCTCAATTGGTAGAATAGAAGTAATACTAGTGAAATGGCTAAGAAGTTGGTCACCTGTAATAATGTAATTGGCCTAAAATGGGAGTCAAAGTCGGCAAAATCGCTGATGCGTAAATATCGCTGACACATCAAAATTCGCAAGAGCATAATTTTGTCAATTTTCCATCAAATTTCGTACTTTTTGTTTTATTACCTTCAGAAAAAGATTCTCTACCATTTCATAAGAAGAAAAAATAAAATTATTTTTTGAAAATTCTTGGACCCTGGTGCACACTTTGAAATTTGGCCTCTGGACCCTGAAAGGGTTAAATGTTATGAGGGCAAGCCCCCCCCCCCCCCCCAAAAAAAAAAAGTGACCAAAATACCAAAAAGTATTAAGGTTATGGGCCAAGGCAGCTCTGAGTCAATCTATTGAGAGGTTGATTACCACTGTGCTTTAGTAAATATTCATGTTAATCTTTTAATATGAATAAAATATCTGAAACATTTTCCTCACATATCAACACTAACAAATACAGAAAGGGAGTGAGGGAGGGAGAGAGGATTAGAATGAGGGAGGTACCCCACATGTAAATATTGCTAAAAGCCACAGCCCCACCTTACACAAGCACTTGATTATCACAAAATATAAATTTAACAAACACACCGATTCACAATATTAATACAGTAGGTACTGCACTAACAGTATATCCAGTTTCACTTTATTTAACCCTGATTTTGCAAAGAGGGAAGCAGAGATATAAAAATACTGCTTGCCTCACTATGAAGAAATTAAAGAGCTGACGTGTTCTCGGCCAGCTAGTGACTCGAACAATTCAAGTGTTACTGCTGTGTCACGCCCAACTAAATGTGTGGCGCTGGAGTGATGATCCTAACTGGAGGATTGTATTACTAATGTGAATTTAAAATGAAATTACTAAAACAGAAATATGACACTGCCATTGTTGAAGTTCCTCTCACACTGACATAACCAAAACCTCTAATCCATGAAGTAATAAAAACAATTTGTATACAAACATTATCTCCAGTATCCTGACATTCTAGTCCTGATGATTTGTGGAGGACCTGATTAGTATGGGCCAACAGGTCTACTGCAGTGTTCCTCCTTTCTTATGAAAACACTGCATGTGTTAACTGCTATGCAGAAAACACCAAATTTAGTCCTATCTATTTCGATTTGCGACTCCCATGGTGATAAATAATTTGTGTACATTATGTACAACAGTGACTGAATGATGGCAAAAATGTTTCTTATTCTTGGGTCATCCTACCTACAGGGGAGACAGCTGATGTCTGAAAAAAAAAATTATGGGTTTCTCTATAGGATGAAAAAACTGTATTTGTTAACTGTTGATGTTGGGGAAAAAATAAACACTGATTTACTCTCACGTGCAAGGACTGAATACATAACCCCATTTTATACCTGTGGTTGTGCAAAAATTTGATAGCCACATTATCTGAGTGAAAGTAATCCCTCCCTTTCCATTCGGTCACATGATCCAAGTCAACTTATGGCCAGTAATATACGGTACAGTAAAAATAGGCATCAATCAGATTTGTTTTATTTTTAAGAAAAAAAAAAAATACAAATAGGAAACTTACTGATGATACCATGTCTGTTTTATTCTTTTAGCAAGAGATTAAGCCTAGCACTTCACTTTTAAGGGATTAAACTTAAAATACCATTAAAATTTGTTAACCTCAAAATGTGTCATTAAAATTATTTTTTCAGCTTTGCCAATTTTTTACATATAAATTAATTAATGAATGCAATCAAAAGGTTCAGAACTGTATGGAAGCCCATGAAAGAATATGCAGTCAAAATGTTTTGTTCTTTACCAACTTAACATCAAAACAAATAAAGAAGTAAAACTCACCCACCTTCTTCCAATTCGCCCTCTAGAATGGGAAAATTCCAATAATTACAACCTAGGAATTATGGACTAATTTATAAACTGCCTGTACCTCTACCTACTTTTCAATAAATAATCAATGCCCACCTATCTGTACATTACATATACAACAATGGTATACTGCCAGATATTTGTGTAAATTCGAGAAAAGATAAAACATTGTTTTTATGTAATAACAACTCTAAGGCCAAGGAAGATAAAACAATGCTGCTCAAAAATGTGAGAATGCTATCAGATTAACTGAAATATTTAGAGTAAAATTTACAGTCACTAACCATAACAAATTTACCTTTTATCCTCTTCATTAATCATATTTTGCATCCTCCCATTTATGAAATATTAAGGCTTTCATCATTCCCCTCAATACCATTAATTCTTAATGCTTTAAAGAGGTGAATTCTCCTTATAACCGACAGCCTGAGTAATGTGCATTTATCAAATCTTTTGGGTTAAATGGTACTAGGTCAAAATGTTAACTATTCCTTTGACAACAAGCCCAGGAATTGTAAATACAAATTCTCATTCTCTTCTTGGTTCTTTTTTTACTGTGCACATCTTAAGTCAACTGCAACATGGTAAGTCTAGTGTGTTTGTCTTTCTAAACAATCTTAATTTTCTCAGAGGAAAAACCAATGAGGTACTACTTCACCTAGCTATTCATTCTGTCCTTTCTTATTATATTCACTATTAACCCTTTGAGGGTTTCGGCCGTACTAGTACGGCTTATGACCCAGGGTTTTTGACGTACTAGTACGCCTAAATTCTAGCGCCCTCAAATCTAGTGGGAGAAAGCTGGTAGGCCTACATATGAAAGAATGGGTCTATGTGGTCAGTGTGCGCAGTATAAAAAAATCCTGCAGCACACAGTTCATGAGGAAAAAAAAAACTGACCGTGTTTTTGGAAAAAAACAGTGACTTTGCACTGTATTTTCGTATGGTATTTATTATTGTATTCTAGTTTTCTTGATCTCATTTTATAGAATGGAAGACATATTACAGAAACTGAGATGATTTTGACTGGTTTTCCAAAGAAAAGTACCTTGAAATTAAGCTCAAAGTAACAGAATTTTTTTATTTTTACCAAAGTTCAAAAGTAAACAAATCATGCCAAGCGTCCAATACACGTCAACTGGCGAGTCTAATATTCTTTCACAAGTGCACTGATATTATTTATACCATTTCTACACTAGTGCAGTAGTCTGCATAACAGTAAATCTTCTATTTTTGTAAGAATAAAAATTGAAAGGGGAAAGCCAAAGAAATATAAGAGGGGCCTGAGGATGTGACTAACAAACATAGGAAATGTTACTTTAGTGCCGGGAACGTCTTTCTTGTTTATTCTGGACCCTATTTGGAAATTGGCATCTTTTGAAATTTGTGTGAAACTGGCAAAATTGCTAAATTCTGACCATTGGATAGTTGAAATCAGTAAATGGGTGGTTTCTTGTACTCATTCAATAGAAAAAATGGAGTTCTAGCGAAATAGTTATGATTTTTGTCGACTAGTACACAGGAATTGGCTGAATTGGCTCAAAGTGGGCAAAATCGCCGATGCGTAAACATCATCGAGACCGCTTACTTTGCGAGAGCATAATTCCATAAGTTATCCATCAAATTTCATACTTTTGGTGTCATTATGATCGGGAAAAGATTCTCTATCTTTTCATAAGAATTTTTTTTTTTTTTTAAATTTGGCCAACCCTGAGAACAAGTCTCAGAGAAGGCCTGTCGACCCTCAAAGGGTTAACGTGTTCACAAAAAAAAAAAAAAAAAAAAAAAAAAAAAAAAAAAAAAAAAAAAAAAAAAAAAATATAACAATGGGAAGCTCCTCTGCTTCCTTTACTACAGGTGATAATCTTTATAAGGAATACTAGACTTTAATAACTTTCACTTTTCACTATTGGTGCATGCCTTTTTCTCTGGTTTTATGTAGATATGTTGACTCTATAGCCTCACAATTCTTAGTCTCTTCCAACCTTCAGCTGTGTTTTTTTTCTTTTAACACACCAGCCATCTTCCACCGAGCCAGGGTGACCCAAAAAAAAGAAACACTTTCACTATCATTCATACTATCACTGTCTTGCCAGAGGCACACAGATATGACAGTTTAGATGTCACTCTTAAACAGCAAATTTCCCAAACCCCTCCCTTACAACGTAGGCATTGTACTTCCCATCTCCAAGACTCAAGTCTGGCTAACCAGTTTCCTTGAATCCCTTCACAAATATTACCTTGCTCACACTCCAACAACTCAAGTCCCAAAAACCACTTGTCTTCATTCATTCCTAGCTAACACATTCACACATGCCTGCTGTATATCCAACCCCATGCACACAAAACCTTTACCCTCTCCCTTCATCCTTTCCTAAAATGACCCTACCCCACCTTCCCTCCATTACAGATTTAACCCTTAAACTGTCCAAGCAGATCTATGTTCACATGCGTAGTACTCCAAATGTGGATCTACGTTTTTTTTACATATTTTCAAATATAACAAAAAAAAAAAAAAATAGATCAAAGTTTTTTTTACACATTATCAAATGTAAAAAAAAAAAAAAATACTTTTTTACATACTTTCAAATGTTGAAAAAACGTACATCTATGTTTGGACAGCTTAAGGGTTAAACACACTCCAAGTCATCCCAGAATAACTTACAAATGTTGCCAGAGTGACTTATTTCTATGTTTTGAGGAATACTGCAATTGTTTTAAGGTGTAATACTCACTGAAACATAGAAGTAAGTCACACAGATTTTATTTAGTTATCCTGAGTCAAATCTATACAATAGTGTGCTTTGTGACTGAATTCCACTATTATTGTAATGAAATTTTAATAAATATGGAATGAATAAGGCATCTTCCTTCCAGTTCCACACCTTGTTTGCTGGTGGTGGAACAACAGGCCCTGGTTTCAGTGTTAACCATAATGCACTGTATGGACTAATCTGGCTTCAGACTTTCTTCTCAAAGGCATGAAAAAGTTGTAAAAGGTCCAAAGACTTATGTCAAGGTCAAAAAATATTCGCAGGTGGCATAGCTGAAGCCATGAAAAATTGTATGTAGAGTGAACCCTCGGTTATAGGCCATTCCACTTATCAGCCAACTCGGTTATTGGCCGTTTTTTATGACTCCCAGTTCTCTGCCGTCATTTAACTTATCAGCCATATGGTACACGTCAAGCCACCGCCGCCAGCACATCAGTCTGGCTTTGTCTCTGGGCGAGTGAGGAAGCTTCTGCTCATTCATCTAAACATTTCGGTATAATTCACTGATTTTCGTGGTTTTCGATTAAGTGCAACTACAAAATAAGTAACCATGGCGCCAAAGAAAGTTCCTAGTAAAGTTCCTTCAGTAAATATAGTGAGAAACATGATGAAATTTAAGAAAGAAGTTGTTGAAAAGTATGAGAGTGGTGTTCAAGTGCTAGAACTTGCTTGGATGTATGGGAAAAACAAATCAACAATCACTTCTATCCTGGCAAAGAAAGAACAAATCAAAGAAACTGATGTGGCAAAAGGAGTAAATGTGCTAACCAAGGTCACCAATAATGAAAGATATGGAGAAGTTGTTGGTTTTGTGGATCAACGAAAAACAATTAGCGGGAGACAGTGTTGCGGAGTCGATGATTTGTGAGAAGGCAGGCAGATGCATGTGGATCTTGTAAAGAAAATGCCTGGCACAAGTGCTGCTGTTAATGAATATAGGGCCAGCAATGGCTGGTTTGAGAGATTTAAGAAGCATGGTGGCATACACAGTGTGATAAGGCATGGGGAGGCTGCAAGTTCTGATAAAAGTTAGGCTGAAAAATCTGTGCAGGAATTCAAGGGGGTACGTAGAGGCTGAAAGATTCCTCCCCCAACAATTGTTCAATTGTGATGAAACAGGCCTCCTTTGAAAGAAAATGCCAAAAAGGATCTACATTATACAGGAGGAAAAGGCACTGCCAGGACACAAGCCTATGAAAGACAGGATTACTCTTTTGTTCTGTGCTAATGTTCGTGGGGGTTTCAGAGTGAAGCCTTTACTGGTGTATCACTGAAAATCCCAGTGTTCAAGAAAAATAATGTCAAGAATAGATTGTCTCTGATGTGGAAAGCTAATAATTAGGTATGGATCACAAGGCACATTTTCAAAGAGTGGGTCAATGATGTGTTTGGCCCCAGTGTGAAAAAATACCTCCTAGAAAAGAAATTGCCACTTAAGTGCCTCCTGGTACTGGACAATGCTCCTGCTCATCCTCCAGACTAGGAAGACCAATTGTTTAGGGACTTCCATTTTATAACAGTGAAGTTCTTGCCTCCTAACACCACCACTCTCATCCAGCCCATAGACCAGCAGGTCATTTCTAACTTCAAAAAACTGTACACAAAAGCAGTGTTTCAAAGGTGCTTTGAAGTGACCTCAGACACTCATTTGACCTGAAGAGAGTTCTGGAGGAATCACTTCAGTATCCTCCAATGCATAAGCCTTATTGGTAAGGCTCGGAAGGAGTGACTTCCAGGACTTTGAACTCTGCATGGAGAAAATTGTGGCCAGATTGTGTCCAAGAGGGGGATTTTGAAGAGTTTGGTGCTGACCCTAAGGACCCTACACCTGTTGTGCAATCTATTGTGGCCCTAGGGAGCTCCATGGGGTTGGATGTGAGTGGCAAGGATGTGGAAGAGTTGGTGGAGGACCACAGAGGAGAGCTAACCACTGAATAGCTGCAAGACCTTTAACTGGAACAGCAACAGACTGCAGCTGAGGAAATTGCTTCAGAGGGAGAGAGAGGGGAGAAGGTGCTTTCTTCAGTGATTATGGACGTGTGTGCAAAGTGGAGTGAGTTGCATAGTTTTGTTGAACAGTATCACCCTGACCAAGCTGAAACAAGCCATATCTGCAGCATGTTCAGTGACAAAACCTTGTCCCACTTCAGGGAAATCTTAAAGAGACACCAGAAACAGAGCACTCTGGACAGTTATTTTGTGCGACAGGGGTTCAGTGACT